AAATATATTCAAATATATATTTAATTATTTAATAAACAACTTGTATAATGCTCTCGATAATATAAAATGGTTCCTTCTTTATATACCAAATAACTTCTATTAATAATAAATAACAACAATATATAATGCTTCTTTCATTTATACACCACCTAATTTTATAAGTAAAAATAAATAAACCATAAAGGATTTTTAAGATAGTAGTCAGCGTCTACATGAGCGGGAGGGGTAGGAACAGTTTGCATCCTATTCTTTTAAGAGGGTAGGCTGCTTTAATGGGGGTATGATAAATTTTTTGGGGGGTTATCTATTAAATTTTGAGATCAAATAGGACAAAATTTATTGCTGTAAAAATTAATACTTTTATTATAGAATTATTATAATACAGTTCATCGACCAAATCTATATATTGCAAACAATCATACACATTGTTTTCCAAATAAAACTTTCTGCTATCCTTTGTAATGTAATTTAAAAGGTTTAGATATTTTAGCAAGCTCATAATGCCATAATAATTAATTCATTGTAAATAATGAAGGTTTTAATTGAATTTATTATCTAAAAAATAAATTCTTTATATTCATAAAATATTGATAGTTGGTAGTAGAGATAGATTAATTTAAGTTATCCTTTACTAATTCTCTGAAAAGTGTATCAATAAATTAAAAAGGTGAAAATAATAATAGAGAGACACCGCCGCCGAAGACGGCGAGAATTTTTAGGGAAGTAGGCACAGGTTTTTGAAGGGACTTTGCATCCAGTGAAAATCCTGTCATGTAGACGCTGATAGTAGTAGACAAGAATTCAATATATTTATTTAAGTTAAAAAAATAATTATCACAATTTGTCAGTATATATATTTCGGTAAAAGATAATTGTATAAAAAAAACATGTGAATATTATTCCAACAATTATATTAAATCAATTTAGTATATATTATTATTTAGCCAAAAGAAAGTTAATATATAAATTTTCCATTATGTTAACTTATGGCCAAAAAACAATATAAAAATAGATAATATAAAATTATAAATAAAAATCCTTAAAACATAAAGTATTACTACACCCTGTTATATACAATGACTCTTCTATTTATATACCACTAATATTCTAAAAATTAACATTTAAAAAAATGAACTCCTTTAAACCCAATCTTTACTTTCTGGCCCTTTGGGTGGTGGACTAGAAAAGATGACTACCTAATCTGCTGAGATGACCATCTAATCTATGACGATTGTTTAATCCATTGAGATGACTCTATTTATATGACTACCTATTGTGATGATTGTTTAATCCATTGAGATGACTCTATTTATATGACTACCTATTGTGACGATTGCTTAATCCTATGGAGATGACTCTATTTATTATGACTACCTATTGTGTTGATTGCTTAACCTATGGAGATGACTACCTATTATGACTCTACCTTGTGCTTAACCTATGGAGATGACTACCTATTATGACTACCTTATCTATTGTGATGTTATGACTACCTTATCTATTGTGACTACCTAAACTACTGAGATGACCAAGAATCAAACCTTAGTACGTTCTTTCATGCAAAAAGCTTCTTTCTTTATGGTGTCCCGGCTCTGGATGTTGGACTGGAATATAATAGCCAGCACCTAACCTAATGTGACAACCTAGGAAGAACTGATATGGAAGTTGAACGATAGGTTATGAATTCTATTTTGTGAGACCAATGATGGTTACTTATTATTCTAATCCACGTAAGAAGTATTATAAATTAAAATTTTATGCCAGGATAAAGGCATGTTATAAATTTTTAAAATTACTAAAATGTAAAATCATAATGGATAATATTGATATTTTTTGATTTCTTGAATGATGACCAATTGTTGTAAATTAACATAAACCTAAAGATGAATTCTTAAATATAATTAAAAATATTAAAAATCCTAAACAAGAAGATAAAACTTAATTTTAAATATGTTAAAATGTAATTTTTAAATCACATGATTGATTCAAATAACCCTTATAAGTAATACTTAATATGATAAAAAGTTTTTGAAATTAAAAGCTTTGAAGACAAAAAGTTATGTAAAAAAACATTCATTTTAGAAAAATATATTTAAATTATGTGGTGAATTTTCAAAACATGAAGAATTTTTTTTTTGAATTAAAATTAGGGTGTGAAATTTAAAATTTTATTTAAAGAGAGGGAAATGTGAATAATATATTATTTGCATATTTTAACCTGGGAGATAGAAAATAAACAAAAATTAATTAAACACTAAAACACGAAAAATTAAACGCTTATAAAATATGAAATGCTAAAAAATGTAAAACGCAAAAAATATAAAACGCTAAAAGTATAAAACGCTATGATTAACTTAAAAATAATATAATAATTATTATAATTTATCATTCCTTATTCTGGATTAAAATTTTATTCCTTATTCCATAAATTATCATTCCTTATTATATATTTTATTGTTCCAAAATTCAAAATTTTATTCGTGCATATTATTCATATATTTGATTTGATCAACTATTCCAAATTATATATTCCGATTTATTCCAAATTCCAATATTCGACTGGATTAATTATGAAATTTGAGAAATGTGATACAACTTGATTACCAAAATTATAAACCACTTGAACAACAAACTCTCTATGACTTCTCCGATGAAATTATCAGAAGAGGGAGAATGTTGCGTTATTACAACTATATATTTCTGTAATCTAATTTATGTTTATATTGCATTTTATGAATTCAAATTTATCTTTTCAACTTAACTTTTTGTTTTTATAATCTCAATTTATATTACTTATTAAACGGCGTAACCTTACTTTATATAACTATCGATTTAATTTTACTTTTTTTATGTTATTTCGTTTTTATATTCTAATTTATATGTCAGAAAATGTATAAATACCTTAACAAAAGAAAAAGAAATTAGTCAATAAAGTTAATAAAATATATTTTTACTGACTCGAACCTCGCGCCATATCGAATACCAATTTTTCCTTTATTTTAATGTAAATTCTATTTAAAACAATATATTACGGGGACGTCACCTTTTTTTTAAATACTATGAAAAAAATTTTCTTTTATATTTTCGAAAATTATCTCTAATTCATCTTCATTTAATTATATTATCAAAAATTTTTTCACTTTTTATAAATATATATTAATTCCTTTTATTCACCTTTCAGATCCTTATAATTTATTTATTATAAACTTTATACATTCTTCCACACCCCTTTCTTTATCCATCTATTCTCTTTCCTGTTTTATTCTTTTATAACATTCAATAAAATATGATTCTTTTATCTTTTCATTTTGATTGCGTGATTATATATTGGTAATCGTTGCTATTGTTATACATTTAACTTAATTTTATCACTATAATCATGGGCACCACTATCAAATATTTACATTTCCCACTCTATTATAAATTTAAATGGCAAAATTTTTAAATCAATTTATTAAATCTAACCGTAAATTTTAATAGTGAATTTATTGTTAAGGTGTTTTTACAAAATCAAGACAATAAATAGATATAATTTATAAATATGAGGATTATGATCAGCGTCTACATGACAGAATTTTTAAAACCTCCCTCAAAAACCCATGCATACCCTAACTTAAATTATCTTAGCTCTAATATCAACTATTAAGATATAGTGAATATAAAAGAATTATTTTTTAGAACATGAATTTAATTAAAAACCTCTTCATTTACAATGAATGCATTGTTATAGCAGACATGGACATGAGTTTGCTTAAAATATCTAACCCTTTTAAATTTTAAAAGAATAGCAAAAAGTTTTATTTGGAAAATAATGTCTATGATTGTTTGCAATATATAGGGTAGATGATCCTATCATTGTATTATAATATAGGTTTATAATAAAACTATTAATTTTTACAGCAATATATTTTGTCCTATTTCATCTAAAAATGTAGTAGATAAACACCCAGTAAATTTATCCTACCCCTCTTAAGGGTGTCTACCCCCCCCCCCCTCCTCCTCTCAATAAAAATTGGATGCAAACTGTATCTGCCCTCCCACATCTATTCATGTAGACGCTGCTTATGATGATAACGCTCTAATAAAATTTAATAAATATGTTTTGTGAAGCGATGATAAAAAATATGCGATACGATTTAAAAAAAATATAGCAAACAGGTAAAAAAAACGTATGAGATATTTCTAAAATATTATGTAAAATAATTATCCTTGTTTTAGCATTATTCATTAAATTCTCTAAGTAAAGGATCAACTGTGTTTCGATAGCGTTAAATAATATAAATCTTAAACATGACGCGTTTACAATAAATTTAGCGTAACAAAAAAAAATGATTTCCAGAATTCAATATAATCATATTATTGACGAGGGGGGGGGAGGTCTTGCCCTGAGAATTGTTATGGTATAACTATTAGTCGGTATTAGGGAGAATAACCTGTAGAATGTATATTAGTCTGTGTAGAATATTGACTTTATAATATTTCCTTTTACTAATATGTGTAACTTTTTTTATTTCAATCTTTACGCTATATTTATATATAAAAATATATTTAATTTTCAGCCTCAAGTAAAACATTTTGTAAAATAATAATATAAATTCGGTAAATACAACTAATAATAAAAAGAAAAAGTAAAATATTAATATAATATATAAATTGATTAAGTAATCACAATTTGTAACTAATCTGTAACACATACAATCTTTATATCTGTCAATTATAAACTGACAAATACAACATTATTAGGGACATATTTTTACAAATTACTCAAGATATTGTATATATAGGTAACTTTAAAAAAAAAAATTAATTATAAGACATAATAACTTTCAAAAAAATTGGGTCTTATCATATTCATGTCATCTAAATTTTATTAAATTATCCTTCTTAGGAACATTTTGAAATGTTTAAAATATTATCTTTGTAAACCTCACTCGTCATATTTTAGATAACAACGCCATCTATATAAATACGATAAAAAGCCGATTTATTTTGAGTCATATGGATCACAAAAAGAAAATTTTGAACACCTTATTTCAACATCTTTTAGAGAAGGATAAATTAAATTATATTATAGTAAAAATTATACATTTTACATTTAATTAATCATCTATAGACCAAAGAAAAAATTAGCCAAAAAATTGCTGATATAGACAAAAAAGATGCAAGAAAAATTACGAATTCTATTATAACATTTGATCTTATAATTACTCTTGCTAAATTGTGGAGAGGGTTGATCTTGACTACAACTTTTTTATCATCAGTTGAGATAAAATTTTTGGGACCAAGCCAAAAAAGCCATACAAATATATTAAGTGTAATTTATTAAATTTAATTACCATTAATTAGCATGTTGATTAGCCTTTACAAAAAGCCTATGAACAGTTAATTAAAGACGTTAGCAGCCTTAAGATGGATGCATATGTTACCTATTTAAATATGTTTTTTAAAATGCATAAAACTTATTCTTATAATATTGTTCCATCAAATAATTTAAACATTAATGTAAAAAATAATGAAAATAGCCCAATAATTATGACCACAACTAATTTATATAGTAGATTAAAGGGATCAAATCCAAAATTATTTACTAGATTAAATGCCCAGCATAGAGATAATCATTATCATGTTAAAAAACAATATGATGATATCCTATCTGAAATCAGCTTCTATTATTATTTTTGTGAAATATTATTATGGTACTTGACAAATAGGCTTAAAACATTATTAAAGTTGATTTTTTCTTGCTATTATGATTTTAATTGTGTTTTAGGATAGATAATTTGATGAATATAACCAAAAACTTACATGTATTAAACAATGAAATTTCACAAATAAATGACAATGTTTGTAATGAGACTATTAAAGACCCAAATAGCCACAAAAAAATTATTAGAACAAAAATAAACAATGATATTAAATATAATGTTAAAAGAGCATCACATTCTCAAATGATGTGTAAGTATAAATTCATTTAATAAACAGTGGCATGAATGGGGAAAGCCCATATTTTTTGGACACATTACTAATCCATCCTTAAAATCTCCCAAAATGGTCCATCCTTTATAATGCATCCCAAGGATGTATCTACCTTAATACCAAAAAAAATAAATATATTATATTATAATTTTAAAATTTATACTCTAATTAATAATGTAAATGAAATATTTCCTAAGCCTTTTTATCATTATCATCAATCAGTTAGTGTTATTGTAATTTTCTAAATAGTTTTAATGGGTATAGACGAGAAAAGTATTAATGATATTGATATTGTAGAATTAGAAGAAATCTAGGTAACCCTGGAAGTCTTCATTAAATGGAGAAGAAGAAGAAATGTGAAAAGACAATTAACAAAGGAAAAAAATAGTTTATTTGATTCTGAAAAATTTCAGATTGAAGAATGCTTATTTATGGAACCTTTTTATTAAATGATATGATTTATCTGGATCAACATATCCAAATATAGTTTATTACTAAGATTTATTAATATTGATGATAATTATATTTTTACAATATTGATGTTAATGGAAAATATACAAAGCAATATAGAAAAATATTAATTAAAATATTATTTCATCATCATCCTAGCGCAACAGCAATTAGTAATGCCTTGCTTCTTAAATTAAATGATTAGTAACAGTCTTCCAAATATAGAAACCTATATATGGAAAAAATCAATAAAGTAAATAAGTAGAATGATTAGCTGGAGCCTTGAAGAAAATATTGAGCTATAAGCTTATTTGGCCGATAATTTTTATCCAATCAACGATATCTTACTCTGAAGAAAACCCAATGAAGGTTGCTTTCCCCTTTAGCCAGAATGGCTAAGCACATAGATGCCATATGAGAGTTTTCCCGAAAGAAGGAGACCTGCCAAAAATTGTGTAATGTTTGAGATTAAGCTAGATTCTTGGATGCTGAATAGTTTAAATTTGCAGATAAATCACTATTGATTAAGAACCAAAATTTTTTATATTATATATATCATATCTTTTATATTGTATTGTTTGTGACACTTAAATAGTATTGGAATTATAGCTCGCATGATTTATTATATATTGGTTAATTATTTGTAAAAGAAAAAAGAATACTTTTCGCACATGTCAATTTGCTCTAAGACTCGTCAAGTGTGTAAAATCTAAAATAAGAAGTGGCTAGTTTTTAAATCTCCATTAAGACGACGTGCGATCATACGCCCCGTTTTTCCGCTCACGTTCGTCCCAAAAATAAAAAGATCTTAATGGACCTGTCCCATTCACTTACAGTAGCTTATCTAGAATTTTACTTCGGAAAAGAGGGGAGGGAGATTAGAGGTCTGCATTAGGCGGGGTTTCGGTCCGCCCACACCCGCCCATCTAAGTGGTCGGATGGATGGGCGGGTAAAAAAATTTTCGAGAATGGGCAGGCGGGCGGGTTAAGAAATTTAAAATTTTTGTTCAAAAACAAACTAAAAAAAATAATTGTTTAAATGATCTATAACAATATTTCTTTTTTTATTGTACCAATCGTTTTTTTTAAGTGAAGAACATTTACCTAACTATTATGTAATAAACACAATAAAACTTTTTTCTTAAATAAATAAAATGTCGATTCATTATTATTTTTGCATTATAATGTATAATATTAATTTTACATTTATATTTTTTTCTTAAATATTCAATTTCATCATATAAATTGTCCATAATTTACATTGATTATTTTTATACATATATTAATTTCCTAAATTATAAACTTTTTATAGGGGTGTAATGCTGAAATATTTTTATTAGATGCTTAGAAAAATGAAAGAATAACCATAATTAAATTTTATAAGCGGGCTTGGGTTAAATTTTTTTTATAAATAATGGGCGGGCGGACGGGTATATATTTTTTTGAAAACTATAGGCGGGCTGGGCGGGCGGGTTAAATTTTTTTAAAACATTGGATGGACGGGCTTTTGGTCCAAAAACTTGCCCAATGCAGACCTCTAAGGGAGATCAAATTTTTACCATTTAAAAAAAATATATTAAAATCTAGCAGAGATGCACCAACACCTTTTTAGCCAAACTTATAACATCGATCGAACACGGTATCAGCTGATATCCCCTTTGCCCTAGTGTTGTGAAACTGCTCGATTTAGTCTATTTTGTTTCGAGATTTTATTGATAGATGTTTAAACATTTTTGCTATTTATGAGCAAAATCTTCAGACTTGCATATAATAACACTGCTAATGTTGTTGAACGGCTCGATGAGTCTATTTTAAAAATGGCTAACTCAATATTTTATCCAGAAAAATATTACGCAAGCCTAAAGATTTTCCCCACAAATGGCACTAAGGTCTCGACATCCACTAGCCAAATCTCCAGGCTTGGGCAATATCTTCCTGGCTAAAATATCGAGTTAGCCATTTTAAAAAATCGGCGAAAATGAGCCATTTAACATCAATAAACACTATCCATACCCAATACCGTTACTAAGATGGTATAAGCTGATACCACCTATATTCATTACCGATGCCCAAACCATAAGGCTAATTATTATTTTTGGGTATCCGCCATTGATTTCGATCAAAAATGAAAATGTCCATCGATATCATGAGTTATCGCTCGTTCAGAGCTCTATTATAATTATCATAATTATTCATTGTTTGAAATAATTTATTACCCTAGTGGAAACATTTGCAAAATGCCTCAACGAAATAGATATTTGTTTAGTTTGCGACCTATGTAAAGGGTTAGGAATATACAACGTGTGGCTTAACATCCTGTTAAACACATCTCTACAGTTTAAATCGATGCAGTTGGCTAACAATTTTGATATTTTCAAGCAGACATCTAATTTTATGAATTCTAAAAGTGAAGGTGATAAGATTATGGCAGAATTTGATGAAGGAATCAAGGGAAATAAGTCGGAATCACCTGTTGATGAGCTTAAAAGACATTTATACGCCAATCAAATACCCATGGCACAATATTTCGACTATTTATTCAAGCCTCTCATCGAAAGACATAAGTATAACTTCAAATTTAAATTAATATATTCTTGAACTTCAAAAAAACGGAATGCTCAAAACTAATAAATTTACTAAACGCGAAAAAAGAGAAGTAAAGTTAAAGTTAATATATAAAATAAAATGAGTATTAATACATCCTAATAAATATATCATTAGGCAATAATTTTAAGTTAAGGTTAAAATTTGAATTTTTAATATCTCGTCCAAAAAAAAAATAATTCTGTTATCGGGTCTAAATCTATTTAAAAAAATGAGGGCTGTAAGGATATTATCAATATCGGATCAGAGCTGATATAATTTTAAACGTTTAAAAAACTAACAAAAAAACATTGTAAATGCTAAGATTATTACAACTCAAAATCAAATCTTTAAAAAAGCAATTAAACTTTATATTTATTTATTGAAATTTCTATTCATTTTGGAAAAAACAAATTAACATCAAAAAATGGCGCTATAAAATATAGCGTTTTAAAAAAAATGTTCCATAAAAATTAGAAGATATTTAAAAAAATGAAATATTTTTTCTTCTTTTTCATAATTTTCCAGGTCAGGACATATTTTTCAAGAGTTTTCGAATAAAAATTATAAATCAGTTTAAATATTGATAGATTTATCGGTTTTTATAATGTAAATACTGGATGATGAGGAGAGTGGGATCAGCCTCTACTAAAATGAAATAATAAATAAAATGAGACATTTTTTTTCCCATATGATAGCAAAATGTGTCTCATTTTAGCCAATGTCTTAATGACCGAATATCACGTGACACGCTTAGACTATCTGCCCTCTATTTTGGCCTTTAGTGAGGCACAGCAGTCGCTTAGTCAATTACTACTACTCCTTGGCGAATCGAATGCGACGATCATTAATTCGCACAAGAATAACGCTTTGAGTGGCAACGGATTCTACGAAGAAAAAGGAGATAAAGCCCACTCCAAGGTATGCCAATCATTTTTTAAAATTATTATAAGCTGAGATTGACTCGAAATAAGGACAGGAAGTTGTGGGAGAATAAAAAAGAAAATGGCCTGATAGCGAAAAATTTATCCCCCCCCCCCCCCCCCATCTCCCTAAACGCGCATTATTCATTTGAAGTTATTAATATTGAAAAATAATATGTAGAAGTATCAATACGTACGACACGGGGAGAACCTTAAAACTTACGATGCCATGGATACCCTCAAACCGAAAGTCAATCAACCGGTGAATAGTAGTGGTTATGCCGGTAAAGGTTGGCTAGGTTACTTGGCCAATTTGTTGCCTCACTATTCCCACGCCACCACCGTGGATTCCTCTAAAAGTACAAGGATTCTTAGAGACGACGATAATATCGATAACCTTATTGGCCCCTTACCCCTAAAGATCAGGTTCGAACGTCATTTGCAAGATTTGAAAAATAAGGTATTTAATTATTCCTACGATATTTTTTAAGAAGCCGTCCTATTTAGCCTCTTTTTTTCCACCTGCAGATTTTTTTAGTTCCTTAGATACAATAGAATTTTTTAAGATTTAAATTCATTTATTATAAAGCTTTTATATTTAAAAAAAAACAGCTTTTTCCACAAAGTTATAAAATAAGCTACAATTGGCATTATTACGTTCGATAAAGTTGCGATTAAAAAAAAATGATATAGGACGGCTTCTAGAACTCTCATTAAACAAAAAAAATGTATAACAGATTTTCCTATATTTCTATCCATGTCATCCAATCCTGGAAGATGTCGATCAAGGTCGTTTAATCCAAAAGTATCATTAAAATATACTTACAATCAGAGTTGGACAGTACCGTAAACACTTGTATCTAAGATACAAAACCCTTTTGTATCGTGTATTCATCTTTCGACATTTTAAAATGTATCTGTATCTAAGAGAATATTTTCAAAACGATTTTGTAGGAGAGAAAGTCTATGATGGTTTTGGGAAATAAAATGAATGTAATATAATAGATTGTGAAAAACAAATTATTTAAAATTTTACATTTTTATTTAAAAATTCACTTTTAACATTTTTGTTCCATGGATTCTTGCAATATTTTTATTTTTCATTCTTTTTGATATTTTAAAATTAAAATTCATTATTGTTTTATTTTATATTATTGACATGCCATCTTTTACTGTTGTATATATAAATTAGATAATTCAATTTTATTATTTCTTGTCCATATTTATACTAAATCGTTGTATTAAAATGATGATCATCTAATTTTATAGGATAGAATAAAATATATTAATTTATTACTGACTTCTAAAATAGTAATATTTGGAGTTTTTTTTAAAAAAAAATTTATTGATAATATTCGTTTAATTTTTTTATATTTATTTTATCTCTTTTGGTTTTTAGTTATATTTATAAAAAAGGACATAGAATATTTTATCATAGTTGTCGATCGAAATATCATGTGTTAGTGTTTTCGATAATTTTATGATAAATTTTTGAACGATTATTAAGTTGGGGTTTTCCTTTTTGAATAAATAAACTATTTAAATTTTCATTTACTTGGGATTTATCTTTCAGCTCGTTGGTGGCATTTCCCTTTGATCTGTATATAGATTATTTTTTTTAGGGACTTGTCCAACTCTGTTTACAAGCATTACATTTATTTAAATATATGGATTTCAAATATTCTAAGAATTAGGATAAATTTACGACAAAATTCAAATTGAATAAATTAAAAAAAAACTACCCTTTTTTAAGTTAATTAATAGAGGAATTTTTTTTTCCGTTGAGAAATATAATTTTCAAATATTTATTCCAATTATATATTTAAGGGCAAAAAAGGTGCAAAAGGATTGCGGCGCGTTATCGCTGGCCTTCATTTTGAACAAAGCGGGATTAGATCGACTTCTTACCCTTACGCCTTCAAAAATAATAACTAGTAATTATTGATAATTTAAATCAGCGATCATCGCTACCTTTTTTTAGCTAATACCGATACCCACAGATCCCGTAAATATCGTCCCGTTAAAAAAACATATTTGTATCGGTGAATTTTTTGAATGCTCCAATCGGAATATAAATAATTGTTGGTTGTTCAAATTATACAACTGCGTACGTTTAATATGGCTCTTCTATTATTAATAGGAAATGAATTGTTTTACTCGAGTGAATGATGTAATAATTTATTTTTTTTTTGAAACGTATTTTCAATAAAATTTTAGGTGATTAAATTCTCTCTCTATTTCCGATTATCTTCTTACATTTATAAAATTATGTGGGCAGGGTCTTAGCCAGGAATTTCCAACTGGGGGCTATTTACTTGGGGGGGGGGCAATATTTTTTGAAATAAAACAAATAATTAGGTGCTTAGAAATTTTTTGCTATTTTTATTAAAAAAATTTAAAAGACGATTTTATTTTTAAATTTTAACATAAATGAATAAAAGCTGAATTCGGTGTTATTTTTTTCCCAATAAGCCATTGATACTAAATTTTATTTACGTCCATCTTTCATCGATTCTCTAGTGCTCGATAGAACTCTTATTAGTGTAGAGAATGAGTCCTCACAAAAAGGCGTTGGTACATGATGATGGCTGCTGAGTTGCAATGCAAGATGATATTCTTTTTAATTTACGATATTTTCAAAATTATCCTTCAGCTTCTGCAGTTATTAATTTTTTTTATCATTTTAATATCATGTTGTAACGTTTCCATATTCGAGTTTGATAATGATTCGCATGGAGTCATTTTACCTGATATAAAATAATTAGGGTCAATGGCGGACGTACTAAAATATGATAGAAGATTTTAATCATCTTGTATAAATATATCTAAAAAATGATCTACAAAGTAATCAATATTTTCATATTAATTCATTTTTAAGAAACTCCAATTAAAGTCCTTTTCACAATCAAATTGAAATTTAATAAAAATTTGAAGAAATGCAAGCGCTTTACGTGCCCTGATAAGTATTGAGGGATGAGATTATATTTTGATATACTCAGCCTTAATTCTTATCGAATCAAAAGAATTATAACTTCTTTTATTTTTTAATATATTCATTGTGGAATCAATGCAATTTTTGACATCCACTATATTCGAACCTATTGACTGCAGATACTTATTTAGCGGATCTATTATTATTAATACCTCATAAATTAAAATGGACAATAAAATGTAATTTATATTAAGGCATTGAGCCAAAAGACCAGAAGCTTCGATTGAATCATGAGTGGAAACCTCGGAGTTAAGAGTTCTATTAGAAAAGTAAAATAATACTTCACTAATAGCCTCAAGATTCTCATTAATGGTACGAGATGTTTTTAAATAACCTGTCCACATCTGGTCTATCTCAAGAGTCCTGTGTATTTACCGGATACGTTAAAAAGCCTTTATACAATGCATTGGATAAATTAAAAAAATTGGAAGAGATAACAATATTATTATTCCAATTTTGAACCACAAGATGCAACTTGTGGTTGTAGCTAGTGATTCTAAATTGCTCCATTTTGAGCCGATTAATACGTGAATGTTTTATATTTTTTTTTAACGCGAAATGCTAATCAACCAATTAAAATAAGGTTGATTGGATAGAAAGATTAGATGTAATATATTATATGTAAAATTTTTTATTATTTTTTTTTTATGAAATTAATTTCTTTTTATATGAAAATGACGGATTTATTTTATTTTATTTTGATTTAATTTAATTATTAATAAAGAGATCATTTGTGAGTTATATTTTTGTCTGCTTTGTGATTTTTGTAGTTTCGAGAGTTTGTTTGAGTTGTTTCTGTTTTTCTCTTAGTTTGTGTTTTTTAGTGTGTAAGTTTAGATATCGAATAAAGTTTTAATTATTTTAGTGGTGTCTTGTGACGCTGATAGTTTCCTAGGAGTTATTCGGTTTAGAAGGTAAAACAAAAAATTTTTAATTATATAATTTTTTTAAGAATTTTTGACTGCGCATTTGTACTAACCATTATACGATTCTAATAGAGAAGTTTTTACTTAAGGTGCTGTATTAATATTTTCTACAAATATTTAAATTTTTGTAATTGATTATTAGTATTAATTAAAAGAATTTATGAGCAAATGGTTTATTTTTTTAGGCCTAGTGGGGAGCATAGTTTTGGAAGGATTTAGGTTATAAAGTTATGTATAAGAACTTTAATGAATTGGATTTATGTAAACAGTTGATTACTGTGGGAATATTATTAATGATGTATTTATTGATTATTATATTGAAATTGTTGGTAAAAAGGGGTACTGCGGTACTGGCAGGCATGTATTGCAATTGGAAGAAGGACACTGCGGTGTCAGATGTTTATAAAAAGAAAATGGCAGAAATGTATTTTAATTTAATATCGGATATTTATGGGAAGAAAATAGCAGACTTGGAAAGTAATCTAAAAGATGTTTTAGAGGAAATCAAGGCTGGAAATGTTGGGGAGAGGTCAGATAGGATCCTCCTGGAAATGAAAGAAATGAAAGAGGCCATCAATGCGTTGATGAAGGAGAGCAAAGGTCCGGTTAAGAGCCAGGTGAGTGATAGAAATATGAATAAGAAATTTAATGATTACGAGGAAAATAAAAGATTTGTGGAAATGATCATTTGCCATCGTTGCGGATGGCGAGGACATAAAAGGGATACCTGCATAGTCCCAGAGCAAAGGTTTAAAGATGGATTTCCGTTAAAGAGACCTGATATAGGAAATGCCAATGTAAAAATGGTTAGTTTAAATGGGGTCCGATTATGTTTTAAGTGTAAAAGGCCGGGACATGTAGCTGTGGACTGCATGGAAGCATCTCAAAATTCGTGTTGACTATATGATTGCAGAGTGAATCATATAGGAGTCGGGGCTCCGAGAGTTCGGAAAAATTTGTATAATAAAACATTTAATATTATTAGTCGAAATGAGGGAAATGATAGAATTAAAATAAGAAATCATTCTCGTAATTTCCCTGAAAGGGAAGTTAGTCGATTTAGGTGGGAACAATATCCGAGGAATATTGTCCGTTATTCTTTTAGAAGGGATGTTAAGAATTTTATTTGGGAAAGATGTCCCACAAATCTTGTTAAAAGAAATGTAAGTGTCAGTAATAAAAATTTAAATTCCGACTTGAATTTAAGGGGCAATGAGAATGCCAATGAAATTATTATTTTAGATAAAATAAACGCTGATTCTCCGATTAAAACATATGATATTTTAATGACGGAAAAATTAGATGGACCATGTTTGTGTCCGAGGGTTAGTTTGAGGATTGATCATAGGAATATAGAAATGCTATTTGACACCGGGGCTAGTATTTCTCTAATGTCGCAGGAGAATTTTTATAAGTATTGGCCTGGGGGCAAACTAAAGAGGCTATGTGTGTCAGGCAGTTTGATGGGTCGGAAGTCGCGGTGTTGGGAAAGGCCAAATTGGGGGTTAATCTTAATGATACTATATTTTTCCTTGATTTATGGGTAGTAAAGGAAAATGTTGAGACTGTTATGGGGTGGGATTGGATTACCAAGCTTGGTCCTCCCAATAATTATTGGAATATTTTTGATACTAGTGATAATGTAATAATGGATGTGGGAGAGAGTGAAAATTTGGATAATACTGATAATAAAATTTGTGAAATTTCGGAGGAGATGATGGAGAAATCGAGTAAGTTGGATTTTAATGATGAGGGAAATGAGAAGCAAATTGTGGCCGGGGGAAAAGAGGATTGGAATAAGGTTAATCAAGCTATTCCTATTCTAGTGAGGCAGTATGGCATTATTTTTGATGAAAAATTAGGTTGTTTAAATGATTATCAAGTTGATGTTCAACTGAGGGAGGGTTTTTCACCGATCTTTTTGGCTTGTCGGCGAGTTCCTTTCGAATGGAGGAAAGAGATCGATGAGGAATTAGATAGATGGGTGAAGGACGGCATTATTATTCCTGTGGGATATAGCGATTGGGCAACTCCGTTAGTACCTGTTAAAAAGGCAAATGGTAAATTGAGACTTTGTGCGGATTTCAGGGTCACGGTAAATCGATGGGTGGTGGAGGTTTAATATCCATTGCCTAGGATTGAAGAGATTTTGGCTCAGTTGAAGGGTGCGAAATATTTTTCCAAGGTGGATTTTTCGTCGGCGTATTTGCAGTTACCTTTGAGAAAGAAGATCCGTAAATTATTGACGATAACGACTCCAAAGGGGTTGTTTGCGTTTTGTAGATTACCATTTGGGTTGAGTGTATCTGCTCCCATTTTTCAACGGACCATGGCGTCAGTTTTCCAAGGATTGGAAGGAGTATTTTATTATATGGATGATGTGTTAATTACTGGAGTGACGCCGGAGCAGCATAATCAACGTTTGAAGGAAGTGTTTAGGAGAATTCGTGATAAAGGCTTGAGAGCTAGTAAGGAGAAAAGTGTTCTGGGGGTAATGGAGGTTGAATATTTGGGTCATCGAATTAATGGAATTGAAGTGAAACCTTTGGATAAAAATTTGAAGAATATATCGAACATGAAACGGCCTGACACTAAGGCTGAGTTGCAGTCTTTTTTGGGTATGGTCAATTATTACCATAGGTTCGTGGAAGATTTTGCAAAGGTGGCGGCGCCGTTTTATGATTTATTGAAAAAAGGAATTCATTATGAGTGAAAGGATGTACAGCAGATTGCTTTTGAAATTTTAAAGGAAAAAATTGGAAAAGAGCCAATTTTGGTGTGTTTTGATAAGGACTTGGAAATTGTTTTGGCGGTAGATGCCTCAAATAAAGGAGTTGGTGGTGCGTTATTACAGGTAATAAAGGGCTTGGAGAGACCTGTATTGTTTTTCTCGCGTGTTTTTCGTGAGGTGGAAACCAGATATTCTGTGATTGAACAAGAGGCCCTGGCTGTGATTTTCGGGTTGACAAAATGTCGTGAATATTTGTTTGGTAAAAAATTTGTAATTTTTACTGAT